ATTCTTACATATCAATATTCACTAGCGAGGCAAAACCAATGAAATATGGACAGGGATGATCCAGTTAAAAATCTAGATATAAACAGATCTATTATGAGAATTTGGCTTATGATATTAAAAGAGACTGAGAAATTCTACCGTCTGCAAGCCTGATATCCAAGGAAACTGGTGGTTTGGTTTTAGCCAGTCTGAAAACATAAGAGCCAGGGAAACAGATGGTGAGTCCCAGTCTATGGGCAAGAGATGACCTATCTTAATCAGGCAGCAAGAAAATTCACCCACCTTTTCCATTTTGTTGAGTTCAAGCCTTCAAGTTATTGGACAATGCCCACCCACTCTGAGAAAAGCAATATGTTCCCCTATACAGATTCACCTTTACAGGTATATCAGGAATGTTTACACCAGTATCTGAACATTTCAGTCAAGTTGACACATAAAATTAATCACCTTCCATTCATCACTCATTAACTTGGCACCTATATGCATCTCTTTAACTATAGCATTTAATCTCCAAATAAAAACAACAAAGTCATAATCTATCTGTTGTGATACAACTACACTGTGTTCAACCAAAACTTACTAAACTTTCCTCAGAGAAGGAGGAAGAGCCCTTAGAGATGTCTACTTTCCCCCTTGTCATCCTAAGCTTGAAAGTTTTACTTAAATGCAATGATATAAACACAATACATTTTAGGTTAGATAAGGAAGTAAGAGAAGAAAAAACCAAAGATATCTGCCAAGTACACATGCAAATTCATGACAAAAGAGGAAATAGTGAACTTATTCCTCATTTCTGTAACTGCCATGTGGTTGTTCTTGGTGTTCATAACCACTTTCATTTATTTAGTGTGCTCATTGTCTTCACAGTTCTTTTCTGGACTTGGAAACTCATTCATTCCTGAACAATATGGACTATTGATAATCCTGCTTGGTTGTGTGGTAATTTACCATTGCCTTTATCATAGGATATGTAATATTTGGATACCCTAAAGTGTCTCCTTGCTTTAAACATAGTCTTCCTTATTTCCCTGAAGGAGTGATAGTCCTCTTTCCCCTCAGTGATAAGAATCAGTCATCATAGCCTGCACTATAACTCTTTTATATCTGGATTTAGAAATGAACTTATAGTTCAGTTAAATCACAGCTATATCTCCTAGCAGAAGCATTTCTCCCTCTTGAGCTAAGATCTCTGGACCAACAGAGCAATAAATTCCTATGATAATGGGAAATAGAGATGTTGCTTGCAGGTCACTGGGTATAGTAGTGAATGGTTCCAGTTCCTTTTCCAGCTGTTGAACCATAGACCCACGAATCCTGGCCATAAGAGAAGTAGTATTGTATGTAGAACGCAAGTCAATGTGTATGTAAGCCCCCCAGAGAAGTTTTTGCAGCTTTTCAAGATATCACTGCCTTTCTAGCACTGTAACTGAGTCTACTATTAATGGGAATCATAGATAAGAGCAAGTATTTCAAGATGGTGGGGAGGAAACATGGTGACACCAGTAAATGTAATTGCTTCCTACCTTGGAAGTGAGTTCCTGGATCAGAAGCAATGCTGTGTGGAGCATCATGATGGTAGGCAAAGCATTCTGTAAGTCCAGGAGTGGTAGCTCTGATACAAGCATGGAATGTGGGGCAGAATCTCTATGCTAGCAAAAACAAGATGTTGCCCTTTCATGATGGAAATATACCAATAAAATCAACCTGCTGCCATTTAACTTCCTGACTTGAAAACAGTGTCATCTTTGGGACTTGGAGTCAGTCCGTCTTTAGTAGATGAAAAACCCAGCCATGGCCACAACCAAGAGCTTGGTAAGCTTAAGCCCAGGAGGCCAACCCCATACAAACCTTTTATCCCTACCACCATGGCCATTTCATTCATGAGTGCACTGAGCAATGACAGGGTGGCTTGAAAAAAAGGCTGAACGGTGCCCCTAGAATGAGTGATTTTATGCACGTGATAATTAAAAGCATTCTCTGCTGATCTCACCCTTTGATAAGCATTTACATGGCACACAAATATATTCACAGCGTTATTTCCATTCAGAGACATGTAGCCACATATCTCTTCTGCAGATTGCTATATCAAAAATTCTTCAACTATGTTCTTCTGAAGTCCATGACCAGACAGCCAAACCATGGGCCATAGCCTATAAATCAGTATATAAACACATCTGGTCATTTCTCTCTCCAAGAACAGTAGACTCACAGGTGCACTGCTTGAAGTTCTGCCCACTGGGAGAATTTCCCAAATCACTGTTCTTCCAGGATGTCCCAGAATGGGGACATAGCACTGCAGCTGTCCACTTGCAGGTGGCCCCTGTGTAGCATACAGAACCATCTGGAGATCAGGCCTGGATCTTCTCTCCCTGTCACCAATCAAAGGGAACTGGGGAGATTAGCACTAGTGTGTACAATGCCTTGGGTTCAGTCCCCAGCTTGAAAAATAAATCATAAGGAACTGCCCAGGAAGCCACAGGTACAGGCAGAGAGAAAGAAGAAAGAGTAGCTGAAATGGGAATCATGGGCATTTGGAGCTCTTCATGTAATTTCTTGTGTGATCAGGGTCTGCTCAAGCCTGGTCACATATATGATGCCATTTCCGTTTGAGGAAAGAGTATACACTCAGCTTTGTGGCTGCAGGATCAGATAACACTGAGTTTGTGATGGAGAAATAAACACATACACACTTCAGAGGCCCATGCTTAAGTATTCAATCTCTACTAAGGCCTAGTAATAGGTAGAGCTGTTTCCAAAGTAAAAGTTTTTATCTGTGTATGTTGGCAAAGGTTTACTCTAAAATCCTAGATCTATGATGCAGGACTATGACAAAAAATTGATTTGATATGATTTTTGATTCCTCATGCTGTTATGTCACCCTCTTAAATATGTATTGCCACACATATTATCCACGTTTTTGCCTGTAAAAATCAGAAAATGCAAGTGGTTCCTTTCGGATACAGCACACATCCTATGGATCCCAATTTGCATCACACCTTTAAGAGTCTGCTAGACTTGAGGCTACCTATGGATCTAGAAGCCAAGAGAGATGGGGAAGATAGGGTGCTGAGGAAAATCAGTGTCTTACACAGCACTTGCCTCAGGCGAGGCCTTTACTGCTTCCACAGACAGTGCAGGATTAATACTTTCAGACAGGGATAGAAAACCAATAGAAGGCCACTTCCACTGGCAAATAAGAATCAACACCCCATAAATTCTCATCCCAGCTTTCAAGCTCCCCATTTTTTTATTGTGGAAACCCTTCCTGTAACAGCAAGCACCCAGGGAGGTTGTTGGACATGTAATTCTAACAGTGACAGGATGAGATGGTGCACTGTGTTTTAAGCATCCTCAGCTCTGCAGGGCACACAGAGATATTTAGGTATATACCTGGTGCTTGACCATGCAGCAATCTCACAGACACACCTGGAGGTGATGTCTAATGAGATGTTGGGGCATTCGCTAACCCAATTATGCCCACACACAACATTAACCATTAGTCCTGCCCACGGCCATGTACCTGGCAAATTTAGGAACCAAGATTAGGAATCAAAAAACCTATTTGCAGGAGTATGACTTCAGCACTCGATTGGAGCATTCAGTGGTGTTAGGTATGTTACCGCAAGTTCCACACTAGACCAACATGAGCAAAGGCACTTTTACCTCTCTGTTAAAAAACAAATCCACCCTTCTGGATAGTAATTTTTATGTCACTGAAAATTATGCTATTGATGGACTTCAACTGAATAAAAGTCATTTATGTGTAGTTTGTTTTCTGATATCTTTTCTTGGGTACCCAAAAGAGATATAAAATTAAAGTTAAGAAGGATGAAGATGACATGCTTCAAACCTCAAAGTATATTTGTTAAAAATCACGGATTAGATAAAATATAGAAAAAAAATAAACTTTATGGCCTTAAATCACTCATCGTAAAGGTAAATTCTATGAACACTTCTCATTCTGTCAAAATAGGTATTCTATGATTTAGAGTCTGTTAGTCTCCCCTGGGTGAAGATAACAAGGGCTGATCTACTTCCTTCAAGTAGGGTGATTTCCAAATTTTTGAGGATGTGAACTCATTCTTCAAATTATATGTTAAGAAAGAGAAATAGCCATCATACAGTTGAAGGAAAGTTGGAAAAGAAAACTGGGGAAACAGGGAAGATGGACAGAAGTCTAGAGAGACATTCACCTGGCTTTACTACTTGGGCTGCAACGTGGGCAAATTTGCAACTTCATAAAAATCCAACTTGAAATTGATCATCCAATGTATTTTAAAGTAACTTAGATGAGCAAGTTATTGTAGATATTCTTAAACATTATGCATGTTAAAATAGTAGGTAAGAAAATTATCATGCATATTTTATGTATTTATTTCCGTATTTTAAATTAGTATCTTAAAGTTGTAGATCTAAAAACTATTTGAGCAGCCAGGGAGATGGCTCCATGGAATAAGCGCTTCCCTGGCAAGCGCAAGGACCTGAGTTCAATCCCTGGTTCTGAAAAAAAATTTAAAAAAAAACTATTTGAATAAAATTGCTTTAAGATGTGATATTGTACAATGCCAGCACCCATATCACTAAATGCTACATCTCATGTATGTGTTAAACTTGAATATTTTTTGGTTTTCTAGTGGTGTGTTGTTATTCCAAAGCCCTTAATTCCAGTCTCTGCTTGAAGCTCATACTCACCTCTTGCCCATAGAGGTCAATCATGCAAATTTAGATTTCACTGCTAAAAAATTAAAGTAAATTATCTTTAATGGACTTTTAGACATACTTCTCTGGCACTTCATTTAAAATGAACAATTTTTCTCTCTTGAACTGCAGTTGAGATTATCTTTGAGCCATGATGTATTTCTTTTGATTTTCCCCTTGTTTTCTGATAAAGCGATGATAATAAATCCTCCTCCTGCCTTTGGTCTGGATTCTTAGTAGCTGTGTATTTGTTTTCTTTGAGTGCAACGCACATTAATATTTATAACCATTTTCCTTTGTAGCATCTCCCAGATGGCTCTGCTCCCAGCGCACATGCTGAATTTTATCTTTTACCGTATCCCAGTGAAATTCGTAGAAGAAAAACAAAATCCGTTCCAAAATGTACCGACCCCACTTACAATGAAATTGTAAGTATGATTCATCTCCTGTCCAGTCGTTCTAGGTTTTTCTTACCATTTTTTTTTTTTTTAGCTTAACAACTGAAGATGGGAAATTTGCAGCAACTGGCAGCGTTATTCTGTGAAGGAACTGCATGTCCCAGAATAGGCACAGTATGCTGATCACTGTTCGAGATGCTAAGGAACTGGAAACTACAGATACTGCTTTCAAAGTCCTTATGTAAAAATGTCAAATTGTGGCAAAGCTCCAGCAAAAGCGCAAGACCTGTTGTGCATGCCAACACTGTCTCCACATCATCTTGCTTTCTCTAACCTTCAGCTCCTTTACTTGAGTTTCCTTATCCCATAATTTTATTCTAAACTCCCTGATGTATAACAGCAAATCTCACACAATCTCTTTTGAAACACCAAAAGCACAAGTAAAATACAAATTAAGTTAAAGCACATTAGAAACAGGCTATAATTCATTAGTGACATACAGGTTTAACATTCAGTCTCCTGACTTCTGAGACAGACCCCTGTGTTTCTTCCCTCAAGTCCACCCTCTCTGTTTCTCCTCTTCCTTTCTCAGTTGCTTGCCTGCTCCTTCCTGCTGTCTCACCCAAGCATGTGCAGATGCTCCACCCAGCAATCTTTGTAAGACCAGAGCACCCTTCTTACCTTAGCATCTCTACAGAAATTTCATTCCCTCTCTATCACTTCTTCCTCTCACCTCATTAATCCCCATTTACCCTTTAATCCTCTGCAAATGTGGATTCTGACTTTTCTTTTTAGTGCTTTATTCTAGTGACATCAGTACATTTCTAACTGCTAAACTCAGTAAGTTTCAGGCTGTCCCCACCCAGCCAGGAGCAGAGCACCAGTGACCTACTGCCTGCATTCTATTTCTTGAACTCTCCCTCTCTCTCTCTCTCCCTGTCCCTCTTCCTCCCCTCCCCTCCCCAGCCCCTCCTCTACCCCTTCCCCAACCCTCTCCCCTCCCTCTCTGTCTTCTCCTCTCCCCTTTCCCCTTCACCTTCCCCTCTCCTCCCTCCCCTTCTCTTCTCCTACTGGCTTTCACTGTCTGTTCTCTCCTCTTCACACACACAGTAGGGTTTGCCCTATCAATAGGTTTTACACTCTAGGATTACTCCAACTACAAATCAAAAATGCTAGGGAACAACTTGCATCTGCACTAGACTCTTACAGATTTTTCTCCCTCATTATTCTCTAAAAAAATGTAGTGGAACTGCTGCTTACACCAAATTCACTGTATTGAGTATTATGAGTAGTCTGGAAATCATTTGAGACATGCTGCCTATGCACAGGTAGTATGCAAACACTGTGCATTTGACATAAAAGACTCGAGGATCCTTGGATTTGGGTGTGCTCCGGGAATCCTGGATACTAATGGATAGCCCTTGATGTGCTCACCACTATCTTATGAGTGTGTAGTTATAAATGTTATCATCTCTATGTAAGCATATCTGAATTAATTCTTCAAGCCCAGACTTGCTTCTCAAGTTTTCGATCTGCACATCTTCTTGATTCCTGGAGAGCTTCATTTAATGACTCCCAGGCACCTTACAGCCAGGCTTCCCTCTGCTCTTTGCCACATCAAAGACATACCTTCCAATGACAGAGAGGCTGTGCTGTAGTCTCTTCTCTCTCTGCAGTTTCAGTTATTCATGGTCTAAAATTATTAAGTGGAAGGTTCCAGAAAGAAAGATAATTCATGTGCTCTAAGTTTCATACCATCCTGGAATGAACATGTGATGATATCTCACAGCATCCCACTCCACTCATGTGATGCAGGAATCGTCCCTGAGCCCAGCATATACACACTTCGTACGTTGCCCACCCATCAGTCACTTAGGAGACTTCTTGGTTATCTTTGATTCTGTCACAGTATCACAGTGCTCAAGTAATCCTTATTTTAATTAATAATGGCTCCCAAAGTAATAATGCAATGGTGCTGGCCATTTGGATATACCAAATAGTCTGTAAAGTATTG